CTCCTCAACAGCCAGTCTCGCCATAAGCCACCAACCACCAGTACTTGGCCCATACGTCGGCTGTGGGGCCCTCACGTTAATGCACCGCGACTTTAGGGGCCCGTAGGCCGTCAATAAATCTCATTAATCACCAGGATCGTGTTGTTATGGCCCCCGAAAGTCGCGGTGTGGGGCCCGCGGCCGCTGTATGGGCCAAGTACTCGTGGTTTAAGATATTTGGGGATTGGGGGGATGTGGATCGTGGGGATGGGGATTTCTGGAGATTCGGAAGAAAAACAGTAGTTGCAGCAGATGCATTCAGTTCGTTCATCATCTAGCTGTTATTCTTTTTTTTTTCTCCCTCTCTCTTTTTTGTCCCCTCCTCCTCCCGCCTCCCTTTTTTTTTCTTTTTTCTTTTTTTTAATCAACCTAGGCTACCAGCCGGGCCGCCCGGGTCCGGGTGGCCAGCCCGTGCAAGGGCCACAGTAGGTCCCAGCAAAAAAAAAAAAAAAAACTCAAAAAATATGAAGAAAAATAAACTGAGCAACCTTTGCCTCAGGGTCACATCTAAATTCTTTACCGAAGGAGAAAGACAAGCAAAAAAAAAAAAAAAAAAACTAAATCCATATCAATGATAAACAAAGGCCTTTGGCCTTTCATGAAAGATATGGGGGAAGCCATCTGCGCAGGGGATACTCACAATGGTACTGTCCAGAAGCTGTCTCTTATACACATCTAGATGTGTATAAGAGACAGCTCTCTCTCTCTCTCTCTCTCTCTCTCTCTCCGTGTGCGAAGGCGCTTCTGACAGCCAAGAAAGCGGCACTTCTGATAGCCAAGAATGTGGCGCGGTAAAAAAAGTGGAAAAACAAGAAAGCCAGTCACCAAGGTCTCGCTGCACTACCGAGGTCACCGAGACAAAAAAGAAAGGGGTTGTATTTGTCCACGGTCTAGCGGAAGATTCATTTGCATTTTGCACATTTGCTGAGGAGTGGAGCAAGGGCGCAAGTAGGGGAAAGGAATGAAACTCGATCCAGAACATGGAAAGGTACGTCGCTACTTTACTTTTACCTTTTTGCCAAGGCTCTGAGGCTCTCAACCATGGTCCAGAACGTAGCCTACTCTGTCTGGACCTGACCCCCTTGTGCAGGCAAAGTTGGTCTCGTTCACTCGAACGTACCGCATATGTGTTGTAAACGAATACAACGCACGGTATGTGTTGTATTCGTTTACAACGAATATGCCTTATGTTCGGGGGAAGACGGTTCCAACCGGATAGGATAAAAAAGAGTTTGTGTGGCAGTTGAGTGACCCAAATTCTGTCGTGCAGTACTGGTGATCCCACGGTTAGTATTTTACATGTATTACCTGAAAAAGTAAGGAGATTTTTGTTCACCTCCTCCTCTCCTTAACATTGGGCATACCGGTACAAAAGAAGTTCCCGCCAAAATCTTTTCAATCCTTTGGGGGCATGGCCAACCCCAAAAAAGAGCGGGGGCGGCCATAGGCCCACTGGATAGAGGATTTTCAGTATTTTGCTTGCTGTTGTGCAATTACCTCATTGGGTGGAGCCCTCCTTCAATCACGGAGTATATGGAGGGCGTCAGGATCACTGCTGACAGAAGTTGAGTTTATTCCAGAAAGTGTGGCAGTTACTTTCTGCATTGTTGCTGCAACCACCACCATAAGATTATTTGTGATCTGATGGCTGGGAAGCACTCTGCCGTGATTTCAGGTGGGAGGTCTCTGTTTTTTTGTTTTTTTTTTGCCTTTCTCCTATTTTCTCATCCCAGAAATTCGTAATGAACCTGTCAGTCCGCTGCCACTCAGTGTCACATTGGATCGGCCACACTCCTATCCGACTCCTGATGGGACCACACCCCAGGTTTGGAAAAAGAGATGCTGGACGCGGTGTTTTGTTTTGTTTTGTTTTGTGTTTTTTTTTTCCTCTTTTTTTTCCCAGCAGGTGCAGCTCCCCATTAATAGATGGGAGCCTTTTTCTGAGGTCACTGTGACTTCCCCTCTGGGTTCGGCCGGTGATGCCGTCCCATTGGGGGAGCACAACAACATTGTTAAGGGATACCGGGCCCGGTTCCTGGCTTGTATTTCTAATAAAGATTTTACCTAGGAAGATTTTCATGACCGGCCGGTCTGGACCGGCCGGTCACCTGGGCATGACGCCCGGGTGACCCGGTCACCTGGGCATGACGTCCGGGTGACCCGGTCATGGCAAAAAAAAAAAAAAAAAAAAAAAAAAAAAAAAAAAAAATCGTGGTAGGGTTTTCCCGCGCTCTCCAAGAGGAGCCCAAATCCGGGCTCTTTTCTTTTTTTGAGTGTTGGCTGTCAAGCGGGGGAAAGGGGAGTGTAAATGAATTTTAAAGGGGCTAAAGGGGTTTAAAGGGGGGTGCCTTAGTGTGATATGGTTATTTTCTTTTTTATCTTTAGTTCTGTGAGGAATTCTGATATGACCCTCAGCCAAAAGTTGTTTGTATTGCAATTCTACACAACATAGTTTTTTTTCAGATTTTTTTGGATTTGATTTTTTTTTGTTTTTGTTTTTGTTTTTTTTGCGCTGAGGCTGCCTGGGGCCATGCCCGGGGGTCATGCCCGGCCGGTCACCCGGTCGCCAATCCGGGCGTGACATCGGGACCCGGACGCCCGGGATATCACCCTAGGATTTTACCTATAAAAAAATGAAAAAAATAAGAGGAATGACCGACCTTTTTTTTTTTTTTTTTTTTTTTTTTGGCAAGATAAAACAAAGTAAACATTGTGTTTTTGTTTTCATGACTTTCTTTTATTTAGCATTTTTCCTATGTCCTTTCAGTCGTCGTACGTTTAGGAAAAAAAAAAAAAAACGGGTTCACATCTAGGCTATCAGTCGGCTGCCCCAATCACCCTATTTTCTCGGACGGCCTGGCCGTGCAAGGACCAGGGACGGTCCTAACATGAAAAAAAAATAAAAAAACAAATAAAAGAATTCGGAAAAAAAACTATGTTATTTTTTTTGTTGGCAAGATAAAACAAAGTAAACATTGTGTTTTTGTTTTCATGTCTTTCTTTTATTTAGCGTTTTTCCTATGTCCTTTCAGTCGTCGTACGTTTGGGAAAAAAAAAAAAAACGGGTTCACATCTAAGCTATCAGCTGGCTGCCCCGATCACCCTATTTTCTCGGACGGCCTGGCCGTGCAAGGACCAGGGACGGTCCTAACACGAAAAAAAATAAAAAAACAAATAAAAAAATCCGGAAGAAAAACTATGTTATGCAGAAAAATAAACTGAACAACTTTTGCCGTCACATCGAAATTTTTTACCATATTTAATATAAAAAAATTAAGTTAAAAATACAACTTCACATTCAAGGTGTGCTTTGTCGGCAAGATAGAAAAAAATAAGGGAAAACTCGGGCGCTGTCACGGTTGCAGTTTGTAAATGCGCTTCAGTCACAATTTGGTGAAGGTTTTGCCAAAGAGAGGAAATCGTGAATGTATACAACCTAGCTTTAGGGTCGGGTTGGGATGTGTTGTATTCGAGGGATGCCTGAAGTGCATTTAAAACTGAAATCTCGACTGCACCCTGGTTACCCCAAAAAGTAAACATATAGGGGACCCATGTATAAGCCTTAGGAGTAGTGAAGGTGAATTGAAAGAATTTGAAAGGTGATGAAAAATTTGAGAGAAGAATATAAGGGAAAAAAAAAAAAGTAAACATAGGGCCTCGTTAGACCCTCCTTGGAAAACCGCAAAATCAGAAATCGGCGTCGTTACACCGCGTCCTAAATCGCCAAATCCCTTGAACGAATGTGAAAACGCTCCCAAGCGATTTCCTTGGGTTCCTCGGAATCCCCAGCCAAAACGGCCTCGAATTCAAGGGGTCCCCGCGAGGTCCCTTAGGATAAAGGATCCGCGATAGACGGAGCGTTCTGGAGCTCGCGAGCACAAGAGAATTTGGAGTCAATGTTGGTGCACAGGTCGTCCGTGGTCCATTGGGCGGACATTGCCAGCCTCCAGTACCCTACGGGCCGCCAACGACCTTTAGACCGTTGTCGTTGGTGCGAAAATGCTTGGGGGCGGATCTTCAGCTCCGAGGCGCTCCATGGAGCGGGGTTTTGCATGCGCGCATCGACGCCCTCCACGTCCAACGGTCTATTTTTTCGAATTTTTTACAAGCGGCGTTGAAGCACTGCTGGCCGATTGCAGTCATCCGTGTAGCTTGTTTTGTCGGCTATTGTCGCCCGCGGGGATGCAATCTTCGTTTGGTACATGCGTCACACGCTACGATTCATGGCAGGTGCCCTCCTACGGTTCCCGCTACTGCTGCTGGTCAGTCTTCTTCTGCTCTTTGTAGTGTTGCTCCACGTGTGCGTCGTTGTGCGGGGTCCTCGCAGCAGACGAAAACGATAAACTTTGAGGAAGATAACGATGGACAGGAGTGAAGCATCCAACAGACAACCGGCCGCGCCGTCGAGTACTCCGCTTCAGGAGCGACGGTCGGGGCGCATCTTGCAGGCGCGTATTACCCGACATTGTACAATCATCTCCCACCTCACGAGCAACCCTTACAGTCGAAGAGCAATGGGTAGATGACCTGTCCCGCACTCTACCTCTGGGGAGTGGATCGACGCAGGAGTGGATGGGGAGTCATTGTGGACAACCTGAGGCCGTGACAAGTGATTATTCGTTCTCTGCTCTGCTAGAGGACGATGTCGGTGGAGGCGATACGGAGATTGTGGACTTGGATTTTGGTTTGTCAAGCGGGAGTGCTCCAGCAGATACACACACTCGCATATTCAACCCTGTGCCTGGTGCAGCCATTGGCGGATCGAGTGTGCATGGTGGAAGGTCCTGTCCACAAGGTGCGAACCCTGATGGGTGTCGTCCGCTGCCTCCATTTTCTCGGGGTGCAGGATCATCCGATGACATGCTTCACACGTCGTTGCCCCCCCCTTCGGCATCGCCTTTGAGTGCACTGCACCAGAGGATGGGCGCATGGTTGGCGAACAAAAGCATTGCCGGATCGGACGAAGTTGGCAGGCAGGAATGGCAGTCATATCGGCGACAGATTCGTCAAATGGCCGCGGAGAACGAATGGGGTGTTCAGGATGCGTGTGGCAAGTGGAGAACCGAATGCAGAAGACTCTCAACGGGCGAGCGATTACGAATCTACAAATGTGATTTGCAAAGACGAAGCGAAAGATGCGGACGACATGGAGATTCGACCCCTGCTTGTGCATGGCGGAGGAAGGGGTGGAGGCATGCATCAAGAGAAGGTTGTTTCCCGTGGTGGTCGCCGCTCGAAGGGTCCGTCAGGCGAGAACGCTGGGAAACATCCGTTGTGGAGTGTTGAGGAGATGTCGAAGCTCGCCCGGGCGAAGGGGGATCAGCAAGCTCATTTCGAGGACATGCCACACAATTACGGACGAATGCGCAACAGGGAATGGAAGCTGCAGGACCTTCAAAAGCATTTGCTGGAGGTGGGGGTGGATAGGACGACTAACAACATCGGCAAGAAGTGGGACAACCTCTTCCAACAGTACAAGAAAGTGCAACGGTATCAGAACGCCTCTGGGGGGAAGAACTTCTTCAACCTCACACCTGCTTTGAGAACGGAAGAAGGCTTCAACTTCAAAATGGAGGAGCGCGTGTACGATGAGATACACGCCATATCGAAGGGCAACCAGACCATCAGATTCTACCCGGACAACGTCGCCGACATAAGCGTCGGTGGAGGACTGCAGATGCCACATTCCCCATCCGTTGCTGGAGAATCTGCCGCCGGGGGTGATGGGGGTGATGAGAACGACGACGACGGAGGGTCGGCGTGGGAGTCTGGCGTCAGTGCAGGCAGCACGGGAGGAAACTGCAAGAGGAAGAACATGCGCCAACAAATATTTGAGACCATTGCTGAAGTCATGGACAAGCACAACATATTGATGACTGACACCGTCGAGGGGGCCAGCAAGCGACATTGTTCCATTATGGAGCAGCAGTGCGACATTCTCGAGCGTGAGGTTGATGCCCAACGCGCGATCTATACCGAATGACGACGTGCTGCTCTCGCACGTCCCCAACTTGCCCAATGATAAAGCGCGTATGAGACGATGTGATCGGGCATCAAAGGCTCCCCTGTAGAATGTCACTATGTGCTGCAGATGAGGGGACAACGCCTCAACGATCTCCAGGAACACTCTACGGGAACTTCTCCTTATAGTAGCCCTCCGCCGCGTCATCCATCTTCGGGAGATCCTCCCATGTCCCGCCCATCCTTCTCCTCATCCACCATCTCGGACTCGCCCGCAGGATCGCACCCGATGCCATAGCACAACAGAATTGCACAATGGATTCCGACAACTACACACAATCGGGCGCCTCCATAACTTGTTGCATGAGCTGCCTTTGCCTGTGAATGGACAGTCTCATCTTCAGGCGAGTTGTGGCTCTCTCAATGCGATAACGATGGCGACGGTCGACACAGCCGCAACCACGGCATTTCTCTCCACAGTCGTCAATGCATTCCCGACGGCCCGCACCTCTCCCTCCATGTTCATGACGTGCAATGCGGAAATGCCCAACACCCCTTTGCTCACCGGTGCCCTCGTTCCCTTGTCTCCACTTCGACGGATATGGCGGCAACACTCTATGTGCTTCACGGAATCCCACACTTCACGCACCCCCCTGACGTACGCGGTCAGCTATGGCGGTCCACAGGATTGGCATGGACGGCCCTTAGAGGAAGGTGGAACCCGTTGGCGACGTCGCGTGGGACGACCGTTACCGTTCGTGCTACATCGGTGTCATTTCCAATGCCTGCCTATTAAGCCATGCCCACCAGTACTCCTCCGTACGGACGTTTGGCTCCAGTGTGCACTCCAACGGCCCTCTCGCCTTTGGCGCGGACGCGTCACTACGAAGGTTTCAAATTTCATAATTTGAATTGGGATGGTCACACCATTTTTTTTTCCCACCCCGGTGGCCTGCGGCGGGCCTCCCTGTCGCCGCCAGTGGACCACACCGACGACGCACGGACATCCGAGCACGACGACAGACATCCGCCCCCCACGGCCACGTGTATGTGTATGAAATTGGCCGCCGGAGGCCTCCAAGGGTTTTCCTTGGGGCCCATCGAATTAGGACGCGGTGTAACGACGACACCGAAAACCGAATTTTTTTCCAAGGACTTCGTCCTAATTCCAGAGGATTTTCCAAGGATGGTCCAAAGAGGCCCATAGTGTTTTTGTTTTCATGTCTTTCTTTTATTTAGCATTTTTCCTATGTCTTTTCTGGTTTTCGAGTGGGCGTCACGCGGCGGCGACACCGGTAGTCTGACATCAGATCCCCCTGCTAGTGGAACCGTGCCCCAGGACGGGCAAATAGCATGTTGAACAAGAAAGGACCTGAGGAGGGGGGAAAGCGTTGGGTGGGGAAGGAGGAGGGGGGCCTCGTAATTGATGTCAACGAGGTCACTTTTATATTTCCATCGAACTGATTGATTGTGGATCGATCACATACCGTGACAGACTAGTTTGTCGGACTTACTTGCAGGGTTCATGTAAGTAAAGTTAACCCTCGTGAGTCATTATCTATCATTGCTCTCATGGATCAGGCGCCAGGCAGTACT